TTTTTGTTCTAAGATTTATACTGTATCTTTGACTTACAATTTATTTAAAAAGACATTGTATGATATCTTCTAGTATTAGAAACTTTAAAAAGTATATTTCCATTTTCTGTTCACTTAAAAAAAAACAGAGGTTTGTACCTATAAAAATAAATAAATAAATAAATTTTTTAAAAAAGTGTTTATCACATTAGAATGGGGTTGGGATGATAGCTTGGTGGTCTAAGTGCCTGCCTGGTAAGCACAAGGACCTGGGTCCAATCCCCAGTACTGCAGTGCCGGCTCTGCGCACAGCTGGCCAGAGAAACCGGGTGTGGTAGCACACACCCGTAGTCACAGCTCTGGGGTGGCTGAGACAGGAGGATCACTACGAGTCTGAGCTGCGTCGTGAAACACTGTACCAAATAAATAAATAATCTTTTTAAAAAATAGCATTTGAAATGTTCTTAAAAGTGTGGGAAGGGCTGGTGAGATAGCTCAGAAGACTGAGCACCTGCTTGGGCAAGCACAGGGACCGGGGTGCAAGGACTGGGGTTTGATCCCTGGCACCACATGCCACGCCGACCCCACCCCCTGGTGCACTGAATTGGCAACGGAGACCAGGCATGGTGGTGCATGCCTGTAATCCCAGTGCTGAGAGACTGAAACAAGAGGATCACTACAAGTCCGAGCTGTGTAGTGAGACCCTATACCAAAGACATTGGTTGCCAAAATTAATCATTTTCAAACACTGATTTGAGTTTTCCACAGTAGACCTCTCTGTATTACTTAGAAGCCTCTCATTTTGCTGATATCAGAATAATTTTGCATTCAGGTGTTTTGAAATGACAGCACCCTTAGATTTCCCAGGTAACCAGACAAAACAAAAGATAAAAAGAAACTCATACCTATTAGAGACAGCCCAAGACTGGAAATTACTCGATCCTAGAACTCAGCTTTCACCCTTACTAGTCTTAGTATATCTCTTAGGATTAAAACCACATACCTAGATGCATCAAGGAATGGTCTGTGGACTAAGCTGATCCATTCTTCTCGATTGGATGAGTACTTCGGTTCCCGGGGTGTTTCATGCATGGTGTCCAAATCTACTAAATAGTGACATTTACTGATGTCTATCTGAAATACAGAAAATCCACCTCTTCATCAGTTAACTGCAAAGGTTGTAATTGAACACGAATTGTAATCCTAAGAATTCCACATGGTTTCAGAGTAACAAAGACCCAAGTCCTCAATGTTATCTGTGTTCTCCACCAGAAGAGTGTTGGGGCACTGTGCAGGCTTGTAGGGGCAGCATGTACTCACTCTCCCACACCTGTACATAAGCTTTGCATGGTCTCACTTTGGGTTCTGAAGTCCCCTGCCCCACAGGTGCTTGGGAAGCCTCCCTGTGGAAACCCTATTCGCTGCTCACTCTTGCCCTTTCCCAGACTGTCGCCTCTCATTTCAGAAGCTGAAAGCTGTCTAAACACAGATGCTAACATGTGAGGAAGGCCTGACTCTCCTGATGGCCATGCATCCCACAGGTGGTACAGCAATAACCAGGATATCAGCACCTTCAAAAGTCAACAGAATTGGCAAAGGAATTATCTTGTACCAAACATTCAGTACAACTAAAATATCAGAACTGCAGGAGTAAAGACAAAAATACCTAATATTAGCAGAACTAGAGCAACTGCACCCAACATGGATGCACTAGAGCTCATGGAGACTATCAATATGTGTCATTTAAATCTACATTGGTGCTGTGCTTCCCCCAAATTGATTAATTCAATGGAACATGCTACACCATCTGTAGGAGCCTTCCATACTTAAACAATTTGTCTCAAATTAAACTCTCAACTGGGTTTGGTGGCCCATACCTATAAATCTTAGCACTTGGGGGGCTGAGGCAGGGGGAATCCCTGGCCAGCAAGGAGTACAAAGTGCATTCAAGGTCACCATGAACAATATAGTGAAACCCCATCTCAAAACAAAACAAAATCCCTCATACTCTGCCTCTTCTAAGTCTTAGAATATTTAGTGGCTACACAAGGGGGGAAAAAAGATTACACAAGTCTCTATGAGATAAAGCCCAAAGAGGAAAAAATGCTACTAATAGAAACAGCTTAAAAAAAAAATGGTATAAAACCTGTACCAACTGTTAGACTCCACTAAAATTTTGAGTGCTTTTGGTACTGGGAATCGAACTCAAGACTTTGAGGTTGGTAGGCAGGTGCTACACCACTGAACTACACTCCCTGGCCTTTCTACTAAATTTTTTTAAAGATGTCTTTCAGCAATTATAGGCAATGAGTTAATGCCCAAATCTAAATCTGGGCATGGTGGCACACGCCTGTAATCCCAGTACTCAGGAGGCAGGAGGATCAGTGTGAGTTTGGGACCAGTCTGGGATACAAAATGAGCTCAAAGCCTGCCTGAACTACATAGTGAGACCCTGTTCCAAAAAGAAAAAAACAAAAAAAAAAACCAAAAAAACCCCCCACAGCCCTAAATCTACATATTAGATTGCATCATATGAAATAATAGTTGATATTTAACCTACAAAAATGTAACTATGTGATTCAACCTAAAGTATGTCCAACAGAAATCTGTGCATCCAAAGACAAGTTCAGCAGGGTTCAACAAAGTGGTATTTCTTATAAGTGGCCCTGACTGGGAAGCAGCCAAACTTTCATCAATGGTAAAATTATATATAATACATAAACTGTCATACACTGAAATACTGCATAATAATGAAAGATAAATTAGTTATATGCAATGACATATGTCATTATTAAAATAAAACTTTGATTTTTTAAAAAATGTATTTATTACAGGGTCTACAGGGTCTCACTATACAGATCAGACTCACAGTGATCCTCCTGCTTTCAGCCTCCCAAGTGCTGGGATTACAGGCGCAGGCCATCACACCCAGTCTCAATCACCATCTCAGCGTGCCCCAGGGGCAAGCCAGCACAGCATACTGGGGATCAAACCCTGGTCCTTGTATTTGGCTAAGCAGGTGCTTTAATCTGCTGAGCTATCTGGCTGGCCCTAAAATAAAATTTTGGACTGAGGATATATCTCAGCAGCACAGTGCCCGCCTTGCAAATGCAAGGTCACTAGTTCGATTCCTAGTACCTAAATAAACAAATATAAATAAATAAATAAAAAATATTCAGTGGAAGATCAAGACACAAGAGAGTAAATGCAGTATAATTCAAGCAAAATATTGGTGACCATGTAGGGATACATGTATATGTGGCAAGTCAAAAGATAAAAGCAAAGAAATTAGCTTTGTAATTAGCTTTGCTAACCATAAATTACTGCCTGACTGGGGGTATGGAGGCGATCAAAAGGAATTACTGGGAAGCTTTTGGGTGATGGGGATGTTCTGTTATTTCACCTAGTGATAGCTACATGGGCATTTTCTCTTATTATACGTTTATGGTATACTTATTTTGTATATATTTAGGTTTATAAATTATACATAATGAAATGCTTTAAATGTTTCTCATGCATACAAGAGCTACTTGGTCATCTCAGCTTATAATAAACTCTGTTTTTTCCCAACCGATACCTCCCAGCAATGTTCTCATTCTTTCCCAGCATTATTTATATGTAAAAAATACTTCAGTATCACATCTGTCTCTACATATGGGCTATTCCTCCATGGGAGAGAAAGCACACTGAGAATTGACGTCAGACCCAATTCCATTCCACATAACTCTCTAAAAATGATCCTTTGGATAAACACTTCAGGAAGTAGCCTTTTTTCGCCTGGACACCCACTCTGCAGCTCCCAGGAACTGTAAGAACATGAAAGAAGTGGTTTTTAAAGGCTTTATAAGGGCCATGCCCCTGTAATCAGTAGACCCAGCATGAAGCAGAGATTTTTATGGCCCCATGCTTAAGCTCCTTCAAGGAGAAGCCTTCGGTATGACATTTGCACATTTGACTTCAGCCTGACTTTTTCTAACCAGGAAAAACTACAGGTCTAGTTATCAAGATCTGGTGAGGGGTACACAGTTTAACAGAGAAGTGAATGCTAACTAATTAATAACCCAACTATGCCAGTCAGCTTAGGTTTTAGGCATCACACTATCTATAAGTAAATTCTGCTTAAATTCTATGTAAAAGTCTTACATACCAAGGCAAATCATATTAATTGCAATACTAATCCATTAAAAATTTGACCTCTTTTTTATCCTTTCTGGGAAGCAACTGCTAAGAAAACACACAAGGATGAAAGCCTCTAAAAGATAGGGATGATCAATGGCAGGTTCCTCATTAGAGGAAAACTAAGGTTATTAAAAAAGGAATTTAAAGTCAGCAGGCCTATGCTAGTCTAGTCACTACCATAAACTAGATGGTGACCCAGACTGATTTAACGTTTTTATACTGCAATACTTTCTTATGTAAAATAAATATAATACTGCTTATCTCAAAAAGTTTTAATGAGGATTTAAAAAGATGAATTATTCAAATACAACTTCTAAACTCTACAGCATTACACAAATAGCTGGAATGTTAGAAAGAATCTTTGATAAGATCTATAAAATGAGAGAATTTAACTGACAGAAAAGGATTCCAGAGCACTGAAGCCCATTAAAATGAATTACTCATTCCTCAACTAGATGGGGTCTACAGTTGATTCAGGCTAACCAACATGCAGGATGAAACAGTTACAATATTAACTACTCATAGTCCTGAATTAGCAATGAATTAGTAGCATCCTCTAAATGACAGCAAAATCAATCTTCTGGGCATCATCAAAGCATATATTATACATATTTTGGGAATCCTGAACCAGATGATATAAAATTGTTGCTCAAGTGATAGGGATGCAGTTCAGTGGCAGAGCACTTGCCTAGCATGTACTAGACCCTCGGTTCGATCCCTAGCACCACCAAAACCCAATTCCCCCCAAAAAAATTCTGTAAGACATGCTTCTGTTGTTATATTTATAATTCAGGTCAAAAAATAACAATGGCATATATGACATACAGATAGTAAACATTGTAACAGCAATTAGTTCAGGAAAGGAGATCACAGAGAATTAGAATTCTTGAAAAGATTTCCTGAAAAGGTCAATGTTAATGAAAAAAGCCAATTTGGATGGCACATGCCTGTAATCCCAGCATTCTGAGAGGATGAGGCAGGAGGATCACAATCTAAGCAGTTTAATAATAACTTAGCCAGACCCGATTTCCAAATTAAAAAAGGACTGGGAATGAAGCTCATTGCAAAGGTTCTGGGTACAATCCTTGGCCACACACACACACACAAACACAAACACATGCGTACATGTTAAAGAACAGAAAACAGGCCAGAGAGATAGCAATCTAAATGCCTTCCTAGCAAGCACAAGAAGCCGGGTTCAATCCCTGGTACCACATGCCATACGGCCCTGCCTCAGGCCCACTGAGCTGGCCACCACCAGGTGTGGTGGCGCATGACTACATTCCCAGGGCTGGGGAGGCTGAACCAGAGGATCATTACGAGTCCAAGCTATGTAGCAAGACTCTGTACCAAATGAAGAAGAAAGAAGACAGACGAAGATGAGGAGGAGGAGGAGGAGGAGGAAGAAAAGAGGGAGGAGGAAGAGGAAGAGGAGGAGAACAGAAAACAAAAGGCAAAAAAAAAAAAAATGAGCAGAGTTTCATGGTAGGGAGGTGAATGAATATCTCCTGGTCCCAAAGAGTGTACGCTAAGAAAAAAAACTAGTCTCTGAGGACTTGAGAATGGGGGACCCTAATGAGGAGAAACTAGATCTTAACTATTAGCAATCTAAGCTTTTCAGCCAAATAGCAAAATGATAAAAACTTGGTCTTAGAAAGAGGAGTCTGTCCTGGGAACAGAGAAGAGGGTACCACAAGAAATACCAAAGCCAGGATTCTATTTGCTAATGTAGTGTCCAGATGTGAAATGATGAAATGTCTTCTTGAATATCTATAGTAGTAAAAATGGAAAAAGAAGGAAAGCCTATTTAAAAGAAAATCAATGAAACCAAGATTTCTAATCCAGGAATCTGGAAGAAAGTGGGCTGCAGTGAAGAGTCAGTTTCGGTGGGACTGAGCACAGAGGGCAGCTTGCATCTTGTGTCTGCTGAAACCAGAAGAAGCACACTGTGCTCA